TGTGTGTGTGTGTGTGTGTGTGTGTGTGTGTGTGTGTGTGTGTGTTTGCCCTGTATTCAGTTGTGATTTCCTTGTGTTGTCTTTCCAGTCTTTTTTCATGGTATCATTTGTGCTTTTTTCTTTTCAGTAATAGAAATCAGGATATTCACGTTGCTCTCTTGAGTCACTTCAGTTACTCTGCATTTAGGTCCTCAACTCCACCAAACCCTGGTTGTGTAACAGACAGATGGAGACTTCTTCATTGTTTGGAACCCAGTTTTAAGTCTTTTTCTCGAGCTATAATAACAGTATCTGTATATACTTGAAAAATTAAAACATGTTCTCTTCCTAAGTATATAGCTTTGAAAAAAAAAAACATTTGCAAACCTTAATCTTTCATATTTCCCCCACAGCTGCCTGTTCCCACAGCAAAGGACCTTGGAGAGAAGCTGCTTTCGAAGACTATGGAGGAGGTCTGTCTGTCTGTCCTGATATTAACATTAATTATTGATGCTTCTTCTCCATGTTAATACCTCAAAAAAACTTTTTAACATAATAAAATCACAAAACATGTATGATTGAAGTTTTGTTTATTTTAAACATGCCTTTTGGTGTTTTTTCCTATTTATTATTAATTTAAAACAATAAGAAAGTGTTTTAGCCCTTACATCATTTCATCTAAAATTACCTCATTGAAGATTTCATACAATAAACATTTTTTGAACAAATGTACTTTTTTATCATTTAACACAATTTATTGTCACTACAGTGCCCCCCACAAAAAAAAACATTACTTATTCAAAGTCTTTGCTGTCAGTTTCCATTACAGCTCTCAGTTTTGATTGATGCTTTCATGTTTCACTTAAGCTGCACATGTTCAGGTTTTGTGTACGTCTGTAACTTTTTCTGTATGACGTCATAGATAAACTGTGGGTAAGTACTGTAAGCAGTGGTGGCCAAACCTGGTTTTAGATGGTTCTCTGCTCTAAAACTGTCAGAGTCTGTGTGGTTGTCTGTTTTTTTCACTTCCTGTTTTCTGGTCTTTCAGTGTTTTTCACCTGCTCCTCCCACTCCTGATCCCTATTGTCGTTTCTTCCTGATTAGTTCTACTTTGATTAAATTCAATTCAGTTTATTTGTACAGCGCCAAGTCATAACATACGTTGTCTCAGGGCACTGTACATAAAA